CTCCAAGTCTCCTTCTTTGGAGGCCTTTAAGCAGAGGCTGGATGGCCATCTGTCAGGGGTGCTTTGAATGTGATTTTCCTGCTTCTTGGCAGGGGGTTGGACTGGATGGCCCACGAGGTCGCTTCCAACTATGATTCTATGATTCTAAGGCTCAAGACCTTATAGAACTGCAGCCCCCATGATTCTGTAGCATCGAACCAAGCCAGTTCAAGTAGATTCATTCTGCTGTATAGATGCACCCTAGAGTTTTCTTTTCTGTTCTGGAAGCTTTGGTGTTGTAACACTTTTGTTTTGAAAGAAGGAATCCTAAATAGGCAGCGGCTGTAATGCACACTTTTTTGTGTGGCCAAATTACAAAGAGTGCACTTTTTGCCACTGCATATTACACTGGGCAATAAATACTTTTTTTTCGGTTCAGGCTTCAGAAAATTGAAGTGTGCATTAGATTCAATGGCGCATTTGACTCAAGTAAATATGATAGTTGAAGTGAGAACAAGCCCTTGTGGTCTCTGCATGTTTCCAGGGGCACATCTATAGGCCTCTTACTAAATTGGCCCTCAGACAGAGGGTCAGTGAAGATCTATCTCAGGTTAGTCAGGAGCTGAATCCACTTTGGATTTTAGTCTGAGCTTTAAAGCACTCGGTTAAGTTCAATGCCTTGAACACTGTCTTCACAATCTGAACTCAAAGCTGGAATGACAATGTTGCCTCCTGACATGGAGCCATCTATCAGCATTGAAAGGAGGCAGCACAGAAGTGGCAAAGGACGGTGGATCAATACTTAGGGAGGAATGGAGAGGTGGAATGGTCTGTTTCCAAGACCATGTGAGACCATATCAAGGTCCATATTTCATGCTGTGGAGAAGTACTATTGTCTCAAGTGCAGTCAGTGGGGATGAGACAGACAGCCTTCTCTGTGGTGGCCCCTCAACTCTGGAACTCTCTTTCTAGGGAGATCAGACAGGCCCCTACTCTCTCCATTTTCCGCAAGGAATTAAAAACTTGGTTGTTCCGTTGTGCCTTTGACTAGGCGGTTCACTTGAGAATTATCCCAAACTTATCTAAGCTCCGGCACTTTAGCTGGCCCCTTTCCTGTACTTATGACACTTTAATGGCCACCCAGCTCTCTGACTATTGCACTTTCCCTCAGCTCTCCCAGGGAATCATTGCACTTACTCTCAGCCCGAACCCAGTTTCAAATTGGCCAACCAGGGTATTGTTTTTATGATGTTAATTGATTTTAAAGATTTTTTTATTATTTGTTGTTATTTATTGTTTTCACTGTGTCTGCTTTATTTGTAATCCTTGGGCTTATCCCTCTGTAAGCTGCCCCAAGTCCCTTCGGGGAGATTGAGGCAGGGTATAAAAATAAAGTTGTTGTTGTTATTATTGTTGTTGTTATTATTATCATTATTATTATATGGAAAGCCAGTAAAAAGAGCCACAACTCTCTCTATACACTGATGTGGAGCCATGACAAATGGTTACGTTTCCCCTATAAGCTGTTATTGGTTCTATAAAGGATATTTTGGATACTTACTTACTTACTTACTTAGGCGATCCCTTGTAGTCTGAGGATGATGGTCCTCCAAGAGTGGTAACCTGGGGGTGGCTGTGGAGCCCTATTCTTGATTGGCACAGTGAGGGCATCAGTTTCCAGGTGGAAGGCGGTCCCGGTCGGGGTTGGCTTGACGCGGCTTCCTCTTGGCACGTTTCTCGCTTTTGCCCTCCATTTGTGCCTCTTCAAATTCTGCAGCACTGCTGGTCACAGCTGACCTCCAGCTGGAGCGCTCAAGGGCCAGGGCTTCCCAGTTCTCAGTGTCTATGCCAGAGTTTTTAAGGTTGGCTTTGAGCCCATCTTTAAATCTCTTTTCCTCTCCTCCAACATTCCGTTTTCCGTTCTTGAGTTTGGAGTAGAGCAACTGCTTTGGGAGACAATGGTCGGACAACATGGCCAGTCCAGCAGAGTTGATGGTGGAGGACCATCGCTTCAATGCTGGTGGTCTTTGCTTCTTCCAACATGCTGACATTTGTCCGCCTGTCTTCCCAAGAGATTTGCAGAATATCCAATATTTGCAAATATTCAATATTTTGGATATTGCACAAAGAACAGGAAGAATAGAAAAACACAACCTTTTAAACCCAAGGGAACATCCCTTTAGAGCATTCAACGGGTCTTCTCTCACTGGGACTAAAAGCGGATTTCAGCCACATTTTTTGCACAGGGCCTCCAGTTTCAGCACAGAAAACATCCCTTTTGCACACAGAAATCCAGGAAGAAGTGGACCATGGAGCCACGCTAGAAAACCTAGAGATCCCTGAAGAGAGACTATATTTACCAAGTCCAGAAAGTTTAAACCTGCAAATGTGGAGGATCAACTATATTTGTATTGTATTGTGTATATCAACTATACACACACACACACACAATATAATAATACCCAGAGTACAGCACACTTTTTAAAAAATGTAGAAATAGTTGTCACTTTGAGTCTCGGCTTTGGGAAGAACATCTAAAGGGCAATAGAATCGCAATGGAGTCTGCTTTTAGTTTCTTCTGTCTCTATTTGAGGAGCATCATGTAAAATGAAGTTTTCCAAAATGACTAACAGGTATATTCTGTTCACCTGCTTGGCCTGGAGGAAAGCAGTGATTTGCTCTCCCTTCTTGATTTCTTCCCAGCAGCTTGGAAGGATGACCACATTCTCTCATCTCTGAAGTAATACCTCCATCTACTGGTCAAAATAAGGAAAATCCTATACAGACAGTCCTTGAGTTACAAACATCCGACATCCAACAACTCACAGTTAAGAATGGCCTGAAACAACAGGAAGCGAGAGAAATCTCCCCCTCGGATGGAAGGGAAATCCACTCCTGAAAGAGCTATTATCACGGGGGGAAAGGGTCTCCACTGAAGCTTTATCTCCTATCCCTGTTTCCACATCAAGTCACATTTTCCAAAATCCAATGATCACAGAGACAGAAAGAGAGGTGACATCTTCTGGACAGGGGCACAGACAACAAAACACACACCGCAGAGGTGCTAACCCTTCCCTATGCAATCATCGTTAGTGTCTTTAGACCCGCCCCTTTTCCCAGGGTTTTGGAGGCAAAGGAGGACTTTTGCTCAGTCTCACTGTTTGGAGCCTAGCAGCAGGCTGTGTGGGTTACTCTATCGCACCTGCACAAAGACTTCACTACTCACAGCTCTGCTGGGGGAGTAAAGAGATAGTTCCACAGCTTTGCTGAGGGAATACAGCCAGCCTTTGCTGGGGCAACAGGACAGTTCCTATAGCCTTCGTGGAGTAGATCTAAAGGACACCTTGGCAGATCCACAGGAACCTTGTCTGGTAAGGGACCACTCGGGCTATCCATAAAGTAGTTTGGAGCTGGGAGTAGGGGCCTCATGCCAGCAAGGTAAAGAAAGATTGCCCAAGGAGGGGTCAGAAGATTTCCCTAAGGAAGAAAGGAACGGTTTACCACCAGTTGCCTGCTCCTTGATGGCAGATTGAGGAAGCTACCAGTTTTCCAAGGTTATAAAGTGTTTAATTCATTTGTTTGAAGATTTAAGCCCAAATAAAAACTTTGTTGAATTTATTTTGAGCCTCAATAGAATTTTGTGTTGGGAAATCTAAGGGGCCCTTCAGTTGAGGCACCCCGGTGTCCCGTTGGGCATACAGAAGGCACGTCCTGTAAACAGACATTATTTCAGGCCCTGCGTGCAACAGCACACCCAATATGCCCAAATTTAAATACTGGTGGGGTTGGGGGGAGGTTGATTTTGTCATTTGGGAGTTGTAGTTGCTGGGATTGATAATTCACCTACAACCAAAGAGCATTCTGAACTCCAACGATGGAATTGAACAAAACTTGACACACAGAACTCCCATGACCAACAGAAAATACTGGAAGGGTCTGGTGGGCATTGAGTTTGAGTTTGGAAGCTGTAGTTCACCTTCATCCAGAGAGCACTGTGGACTCAAACCTTCATCCAGAGAGCACTGTGGACTCAAACAATGATGGATCTGGACCAAACTTGGCACGAATACTCAATATGCCCAAACGTGAACACTGGTGGAGTTTGGGGAAAATAGACCTTGACATTTGAGAGCTGTCGCTGCTGGGATTTATAGTTCACCTACAATGAAGTATTCTGAACCCCATCAATGACAGAATGGGGCCAAACTTCCCACACAGAACCCCCATGGCCAAAAGAAAATACTGTGTTTTCTGATGGGCTTTGGCGACCCCTCTGAGACCGCCCCCCTCGTGATCCCCCAGGGGTCCCAACCCCCAGGTTGAGAAGCACTGGGCTGGAGTAACACTTTAAAAGCCTACCTCTTCTAACTTACATACAAAACATATCTTGTTCGTAACTTGAGAACTACCTGTACCAATAAAGCCCTGTTTTGTTGTGAGAAGGCGTCCCTAAATAAGGCCAATGAATGCCTTGGTTATACATTGTTTGTTCTTCTAGTTCTAAGGCTTTCCTTTGAAAAACAAAATATCCATATGACCAAAGATCTCAGCTAAAGATTTCCTGATTTAAACAGGTCTTCAGCCATTGACCATGTTGCATTTGGAAGATATATATATATATGAACATTTTAATTGGATTAATTGTGAAGTTTCTTTGAAACTTTTGCACTACATATGGATTTAACTATTTTGTTTTATACTACACTCTATGCCTCTTTAGTTCCCATATTGAGAGAAAAGCAGGATGTAACTCAAATAAAGAAATGCTTTGATTGTTCCAGGCTATTTTCAGGCATTTTCCAGCATTTTGACTCAACCTCAAATGTGTTCTTTCACAGTTCCAAGATGCACCAAAAGTTTCTTTCTCTTTCGTTCAAACAAACATCACAACAAACAAACTAGAATTATAGCACTATAACACTTTTATGACCCTAAAAATATATTCAGCTTTAGCGAGGAGAACAAATGTCCTTCAGACGACAAGAACATCTCAGGACAAGGTTTAGGGAGAGCTTTCTTACTTCGAGATCCTGAAATCTCTTCGTCTGAGAACTGAAACCTTTCTTTTCGGTATTGGCGATCACTTTGGTCAGGAACTTTACAGGAATGGAAGAATAGAGGTGTCCTAGTAATGAAAACAATTGGAAGTCATGAACATGTACATATACAGATTTCTATTTCACCAGAAAAACTCTGATTTCACTTTACAGCTATCTGAGGCAGCATTCCCAAGGTATCTCTCTGTGTTGGTTTCCATTCTTCTAATCTAGCATTTTACCATGTTGCTCAGGAACCAAAAAGTAAAGACATGCCGCAATATTTTTGCTCTTTTGTTTTTTTTAAATAGTATATTTGAATTCATTAACCAGTGCGTACCTTGAGATCATCTGGGGAGGCACTGCTCTCTCTCTCTCTCCCCGCCATCTCAAGCGCGATTGGTGGGGATGAGGGAGAGAGCCTTCTCAGTGGTGGCCCCTCGGCTCTGGAACTCCCTCCCTAGGGAGATCAGACAGGCTCCCACTTTGTCCTCCTTCCAGAGTCAACTAAAAACCTGGATGTTCCGGTGTGCTTTCGATTAAGCAACTCACCAGTAATCTCCCTGTCCCTATTGAGTGCTGCTCTTTACACCGGCCCTCATATGGTCTACCTCAACATGGTTTATGACAGCATTTCCTGCCCAGTCTACTGGTTTATTGCACTTTTCTTGTGCTCCTGTAAAATGTATTGCACTTATTGAATCTATACCTCAGCTATGTTCTTTTTTGCTCAGCCATATTGTTCTTATGTTGTTTATAATTGTGTTGTATTGTTTTTATCAGATGTTTTTAATTGGTTAAATATTTTACTTGTGTGTTTTAATTGTAATTTTTGGGCTTGTCCCTTGTAAACCGCCCCGAGTCCCCGGGATTGTGGCGCAGCTGGCTGAGTGTCAGCTGCATTAAGATCACTCTGACCAAAAGGTCATGAGTTCGAAACCAGCCCGGGTTGGAGTGGGTTTCCAACCAATTGTGTAGCCTGTTGTCGACCTTTGCAACCCAAAAGACAGTTGCATCTGTCAAATAGGAAAATAAGGTACCACCTTAAAGTGTGGGGAGGCTAAATTAACTAATTTATGAGGCCATAAAGACTCCAGCAAAAGCATGCGGGGAATGCGGAAGTACTTCATCAGTGTCGCAGATGGACGATGAAAGCGACAGCTCCCCTGGCGGCCAGAAAAAGTTAAATAGCCTCTGTGTATGTCTGTATATGTTGTATGTCAAAATTGGCATTGAATGTTTGCCATATATGTGTACACTGAGTCCCCTGCGGGGTGAGAAGGGCGGAATATAAATGCTGTAAATAAATAAATAAATAAATAAATAGTTTCTGACCTTGTTATACCTTGTCTCAAGCCATTATGAGAAGTGAGGTATAACAATTGATATCTATTTTATTTATTATTTACCTTCCTTCCCTTGCCCTTCCCCCCCCTCCCCCCCCCCCCCCCCCTCTTATATACCGCTAACTTCTCAGCCTGGATCGGCGACTCAGTTGCGGTTTACAGCATTTAAAATCAATCTCCAGTTTAAAAACATATACAAAATACAATTACAAATTACAATAGCAAATTATTGGGCCACCAATAATAATCCCATATGTCTCAAGCTGAATCACAGTCCACAATTCGTTGTCCATATATGGGTTGTTGTAGGTTTTTCCGGGCTATATGGCCATGTTCTAGAGGCATTTTCTCCTGACGTTTCGCCTGCATCTGTGGCAAGCATCCTCAGAGGTAGTGAGGTCTGTTGGAAGTAGGAAAATGGATTTATATATCTGTGGAATGACCAGGGTGGGACAAAGGACTTTTGTCTGCTGGAGCTAGGTGTGAATGTTTCAACTGACCACCTTGATTAGCATTCAATGGCTTGGAAGTGCCTGGGGGGAATCTTTTGTTGAGAGTGATTTTATGTGCCTGTTTGTTTCCCCTCTGTTGTTTTGCTGTTGTAATTTTTGAGTTTTTTAATACTGGTAGCCAGATTTTGTTCATTTTCATACTTTCTTCTTCGACAATACATTATTATTATTATTATTATTATTATTATTATTATTATTATTAAGCCAAGTATTGCAGACTTGGCCTAGATATTTGAGGAATGTCATCTCTAATATAATGGTCACGGCTCAATGCTATGCATTCTTGGAAAGTGTAATTTGGTGGGCAACGTCCTTGCAGATGGCCAATTCTCTCACACCAGAAGCTACTTGCAGTTTCTCAAGTCGCTCCTGACATGACAAAAAAAATGGTGAGGCACCCACATCCTTTAGCAGAGAAGGCGCAAGACCTTATTTATTTATTTACTTACAGTTTTTGTATTCCACCCTTCTCACCCTGACAGGGACTCAGGGTGGATCACAGAACACATATACAGCAAACATTGAATGCTGATTATACAATGACAAGACAGATAGAGGTATATGTAGGCTTTCCCATCTTTTAGCATCTTTGGGGACTATGCTCAGTTCCAGCCATAGGGGGGTGCTGTTGCTCTATCTCCCTGCTTTATTTGTAAGCTTCCTCCTTTTTCTGATTGATTTTTTTTGGTTTCAGGGCTTTGAAAAAGCGCATTAGACTGGAATAAATGTGGCAGTTTGTGGTTTCATCCAATGTGTCTCAATCCAGTCCCTTTGGCCTGGCCTTTGGACCGGTGCCTCCCACTTCTTCCAGGTCCGCCATTGCCCTCCTGACTCCTCAAAACAGGACCCACCTGATTTGTTTAGGTGCCCTTTGGGGCCTTTCGCAGGCTCTTCAGCGCTTGGGTTAGGAGTGCCCTTCCTTCTGGCTTTTCTCTCCATACAAAAGGCCTTCAAAAGAGTCTCTCACGCAGTCAGTGCAAAGTGGGCAACGGATCCCCACGTCTCAATGCAACCATCTTGTCTTCTCTACAAAAAGCCAGCGCATATTTAAATCAGGGTTGAGCCATGGAAGTGCATATGAAGAGCAAAGGAGAATATAGATCTGAATAAAAGGGTTGTGCACATCTACGTATCATTTCGAGAATGAAACACTGGGGTCCAGTACTTACTTACTTACTTAGGCGATCCCTCGTTGGACGAGTAAGATGGTCTTCCATTATGGATTTCCTTGTGGGTCCGTATGTGGCTGTGGAGCCCTATTCTTGCTCTGCATCTTCTTCCGCAGTGAGGGCATTGGTTTCCAGGTGGAAGGCGGTCCCGGTCGGGGTTGGCTTGACGCGCCTTCCTCCTGGCACGTTTCTCTCTTTCACCCTCCACTCGTGCCTCCTCAAATTCTGCAGCACTGCTGGTCACACCTGTCCTCCAGCTGGAGCGCTCAAGGGCCAGGGCTTCCCAGTTCTCAGTGTCTATGCCAGAGTTTTTAAGGTTGGCTTTGAGCCCATCTTTAAATCTCTTTTCCTGTCCACCAACGTTCAGTTTTCCGTTCTTAAGTTCGGAGTAGAGCAACTGCTTTGGGAGACGGTGGTCAGGCATCCGGACAACGTGGCCGGCCCAGCGGAGTTGATGTTGAGAGGACCATCGCTTCAATGCTGGTGGTCTTTGCTTCTTCCAGCACACTGACGTTTGTCCGCTTGTCTTCCCAGGAGATTTGCAGGATTTTCCGGAGGCAGCGCTGATGGAAACGTTCCAGGAGCTGCATATGACGTCTGTAGACAGTCCACGTCTCACAGGCATATAGCAGGGTTGGGAGGACAATAGCTTTATAAACAAGCACCTTGGTATCCCTACGGATGTCCCAGTCCTCAAACACTCTCTGCTTCATTCTGGAAAATGCTGCACTTGCAGAGCTCAGGCGGTGTTGTATTTCGGCGTCGATGTTGACTTTGGTGGAGAGGTGGCTGCCAAGGTAGCGGAAATGGTCCACATTTTCTAATGTGACACCATTAAGCTGTATTACTGGCATTGGAGAGGGATTGGCTGGCGACTGCTGGAACAGCACCTTGGTTTTCTCAATGTTCAGTGACAGGCCGAGCTTCTCATATGCTTCTGCGAAGGTGTTTAGAGTGGCTTGTAGATCTTCTTCTGAATGCGCACAGACGACATTGTCATCAGCATACTGGAGTTCTATAACAGCTGTTGCTGTAACCTTGGTTTTGGCTTTCAGTCTGCTGAGGTTGAATAGCTTGCCATCTGTCCGATAGATTATTTCCACTCCGGTGGGAAGCTTCCCATCAACAAGGTGAAGTATCATAGCGATGAAGATGGAGAATAGAGTTGGGGCAATAACACATCCCTGTTTGACACCTGATTCCACCTTAAATGGGTCACTTTGGGAGCCACTGCTGTCCAAGACTGTTGCCATCATGTCATCATGGAGGAGCCGCAGGATGTTCACAAATTTGCTTGGGCACCCGATTTTGTGGAGGATGGTCCAGAGAGCGCTGCGATTCACTGTGTCGAATGCCTTTGCAAGGTCGATGAATGCCATGTACAGAGGTTGGTTTTGTTCCCTGCATTTTTCTTGGAGCTGTCGTGCAGTGAAGATCATGTCCACGGTTCCTCTGGAGGGGCGGAAGCCATTCTGGGATTCTGGGAGGGTGTCTTCTGAGAAGGGCAGAAGGCGGTTTGCAAGGATTCTTGCGAGGATTTTCCCAGCGGAGGTTAGAAGGGAGATACCTCGATAGTTTCCGCAGTCTGTTCTTTCCCCTTTTTTGAAGAGGGTGATGATGGTGGCGTCCTTGAAATCTGCTGGGATTTTCTCGGTCACCCACACTTTTTCTATGAGCTGGTGGGGTTGGTGTGTCAGCTCAGGTCCTCCCTCTTTAAAGATTTCAGCAGGGATCCCATCTGGTCCACTGGCTTTGTTATTCTTCTGTTGGCTGATGGCATTGCTGACTTCTTCCAAACTAGGCAGTGCTGCAAGCTCGTCCCTGGTTTGTTGTTGCGGGATTTGTGAGAGGACCTCTTCGGCCACATTGGAGCTGCGGTTCAGGAGGCTTTGGTAGTGTTCTTTCCAACGTAGTGCAATTGAGTTTTGGTCCTTCAGGAGTTTGGTTCCATCTGATGAGCGTAGAGGCTGTATCCCATGGTTTCTTGGTCCATAGATGACCTTTGTGGCTTTGAAGAATCCCTGAGCATCATGGGTATCTGCCAGGTGTTGGATTTCTTCAGCCTTCTTTGTCCACCAGATGTTCTTGAGTTCTCTTGTCCTTCTTTGGACCTCAGCTTTTGCACTGGCGTAGATCTTTTTCTTAGCAGCACAGTTGATGTCTCTCTGCCATGCTTGGAAGGCTTTCCTTTTCTTGTCAATTAGCTGTTGGATCTCGATGTCATTTTCATCAAACCAGTCTTGATGTTTCTTGGCTTGGTATCCAATAGTTTCTTCGCAGGCTTGGATGATGGAGGTCTTCAGTTTGTTCCAATGTTCCTCGACACTTTCGGGGTGTACTGTGGGTAGATGGTCCTTGAGTGCTGTTTGGAGATGGGCTCGTCTGGAGGGCTCCTGAAGGGCTTGGGTGTTCATTTTGCGCCTTGTCTTCCTTCCTTGGAGTCTGCGCTTGGGAGCGATCTTGATAGCCATCGAGGATCGAATTAACCTGTGGTCAGTCCAGCAGTCGTCAGCACCTGTCATGGCTCTTGTGAGGAGCACGTCACAGCGGTCTCTGGCGCGTGTGATTACATAGTCTAAGAGGTGCCAATGCTTTGACCGGGGGTGCTTCCATGATGTCTTGAACTTGTTTTTCTGGCGGAAGAGCGTGTTGGTGATGACAAGGTTGTGCTCCGCACATTTGGTGAGAAGCAGGATGCCATTTGAGTTGCTGTTTCCAACCCCGTCTTTTCCGATGGTCCCTGGCCACAGGTCGAAGTCTCGCCCGACTCTTGCATTGAAGTCCCCCAGGAGGATGATTTTGTCCTCCTTAGGTATCCCCGATAGGACGGTGTCCAGCTGACAGTAGAATTTCTCCTTGATGTCTTCGTCAGCATCTAGTCTTGGTGCATAGGCACTTATGATGGTTGCCCGTTGGTTTTTGGCAAGATCGATTCGGAGGGTTGAGAGTCGTTCGTTGATGCCAGTGGGTGCTTCGGACAGATGTTTCACCAGATCATTCCTGATGGCGAAGCCAACTCCGTGCATTCTTTGGTCTTTTTCGGGCAGTCCCTTCCAGAAGAAGGTGTAGCCTCCTTTTTCTTCCTTCAGCTGTCCCTCTCCTGCTCTCCGGGTCTCCTGAAGGGCTGCTATGTCGATGTTGAAGCGTCCCAGCTCCCTTGCAATGATGGCAGTTCTGCGTTCGGGGCGTTCACTGCCACTGTTGTCCATCAGAGTCCGTACATTCCACGTACCGAAGTTCATTTTCCTTTTTTGGCCGCAGGGTGGTGACCCCACTGGACGCGGCAGTCCAGTCAGGGATAAGTGAGGCAGACTATGTTTAGGGCACCTTTTCTAGCCCCCTCCCCATGTGGGGTGAGCAGAGTGGGTCCTCAAAGGGCTGCTCAGTCGCGGATACAGCTGCCGAACTACTCAACTGCCTCGGACCTTGAGGTAGAACGACTGAGTCCGTACCCACCGCCCATGTGCCAGTCTGTGACTAGGGGCTTCCAGATTTCACAGTCCTGCCCCCGTCGCCACTCGCTGATCGCCATGGGACTTTGGTTGCTTGGTTTTTGTTTTCTTTGGAAGACGCCTGTGCGTGGGTTTTTTTAATGTGTGGAGGTCAGTGCACAACTGATCAACACACAGACTTCACAGAGTGAGGTTCCACTGGTGATGTAGTTTAACACAATGACCGTGGCTTCTCAGTCTGTTGCAGCCTTCTTCCGCCTTCGCAGCCATTGTAACATGTGCCATGTTATCCTCCGCCTGCTCCGCCGTTGAGGTCTTTGGGTCTTCGGACTGTGCTTGGTCTGGAACCTCCCCCGCGGCCACTCCTGGGAGTGCACGACTCCAGTTGTTGTGCCTACAGGTTCATTGGAACGCGCAAGCCCCCTCACCACGACAAGGTGACAGTCCATCGAGGGGGGGTCCAGTACAAGCCCCATATCTATGGGGGACACCATGAAAAAGTGAAAATATAGGTATTTATTTATTATTTATTTATTTACTTTGCTTATATACCGCAGTTCTCAGCCCAGGGGCGACTCACTGCGGTGTACAACATAGAAAAACAAGGTGCAAAATACAAGACTCAGCATAAAATAATCCACAATTCATCATTATCAAAAAACATCTTCATCAAAAACATCATCATTACTACAAAAGCCATTCTGTGTCGTCTCATCGTCAAAAACCACAATCCAGTATCATTTTCCGTTGTTCCAATCCTATGGTCAGTTACCAATCATTGCACTTCTTGTTCAAACGCCTTCTTAAACAGCCAGGTCTTTAATTTCCTGCGGAACATCAACAGGGAGGGAGCTAGTCTGATGTCCACGGGAAGAGTGTTCCCCAGCCGAGGAGCCACCACCGAGAAGGCCCTATCTCTCGTCCCCGCCAGCCGTGCCTGTGAAGCAGGCGGGATCGAGAGCAGAGCCTCCCCGGAAGATCTCAAAGTCCTCGTGGGCTCATAGGTCGAGAAGCGGTCAGTTAGGTATCTTGGACCGGAACCGTTTAGGGCTTTATAGGCCAACGCCAGCACCTTGAATTGGGCCCGGTAGCAGATCGGCAGCCAGTGGAGCTGGTACAGCAGGGGGGTTGTATGCTCCCTACGTCCAGCTCCCGTTAGTATCATAGTATCAGCAAATAAATAAATAAATACAGCAAATAAATAAATATTATACAGGTATAAATAAATATTATACAGATAATAGCAAACCCTATTAAATGAATGACTCCTGGTGGAAGTATGCCACAAAATCATGCGGGAGGACCTGGACAAATCCTAAAGAGAACACCTGTATAATATTTATTTATTTGCTGTATTTATTTATTTATTTATTTATTTATTTATTTATTTATTTGCTGTAT